CTAAAGAAAATAAAGCTTTATATTATAAATTTGTGTATATCTCTGTGTGTGTATGTGAAATAATAACTGACGAGCAGTAGTATTCCTAGTTAGGAATTGGTAGCTATTGGTTTAAGTCCTTTCTCCTGGAGGAAAAAAAAAAAAACACGACTTCCTTTAAAAGGCCTTTCCTGGTCTCTGCTGTTTTTCCCTCCTCCTCAAAAGTTACCTTGCATCCACTGTGTATTTGTATTTTTTTTCATTTTTTAAATTTAATATATTTTATTTCCCCCAATTACCTGTTAAAACAATTTTTAACATTCATCAATTTTTAAGTTTTGAGTTCCAAATTTTGTCCCTGTGTAAATAAATTTTAAAAAATCATTTTTGTAAGCATTTATTATCTCTTTCTTTCCTGCTACTCATTTAACAATTAAAAAATAAAAGCAAACCCCTCAAAAGAAATATGCATAATCCAGCAAAATAAATTCCTTCATTGGCCATGTCCACAAATGTATGTCTCATTTTTCTTTTTCTTTTTCTAAAATTAATTTATTTTGAATTATCAGCAATCTCTTCCATAAGCTATTGAGTTTTAAATTTTTCTCCCCCTCCCTCCCCAAGATGGCTCACAATCTGACATAGGCTATACATATACATTCCTATTAAACATATTTTCACATTAGTGATGTTGTAAGTAAGAATTAGAACCAATTGGAGGAACTACCAGAAAGAGGAAATAAAACACAACAGAAGAAAAAAAATAGCAAATAGTATGCTTCAATCTGTATTAAAACACCATATTTCTTTCTTTGTATGTGGATAGCATTTTCCATCATGAGGCCTTTGGAGATGTCTTAGATCTTTGTATTGCAGAGAAGAATTAAGTCGATCAATATTGGTCATCGCACAACGTGGCTGTTACTGTGTACAACGTTCTCCTGGTTCTACTCACTTCACTCAGCATCAGACCATGCAAGTCTTTCCAGGTTTTTCTGAAGTCAACCTGTTCATCATTTCTTATAGTACAATAGTATTCCATTACATTCATATGCCACAACTTGTTCAGCCATTCCCCAATTGATGGGCATCCTCTCAATTTCCAATTCTTTGCCACCACAAAAGAGCTGCTATAAATATTTTTCTACATGTGTTTCCTTTTCCCATTTGTACGATGTCTTTGGGATATAGCCTAAGAAGTGCTATTGCTAGGTCAAAGGGTATGCACATTTTTATAACCCTTTGGGCATAGTTCCAAATTGCTCTCCAGAATTGTTGAATCAGTTTACAACTCCACCAACAATGCATTAGTGTTCCAATTTTCCCACATCTTCTCCAACATTTATCATTTTCCTTTTTTGTTTTATTAGCCATTCTGAGAGGTGTCATGTGGTACCTCAGAGTTGTTTTGATTTGCATTTCTCTAATCAATAGTGATTTAGAGCATTTTGATATGACTATAGATGGCTTTAATTTCTTCATCTGAGAACTGCCTGTTCATATCCTTTGACCATTTATCAATTGGGGAATGACTTGTATTCTTATAAATTTGACTTAATTCTCTATATATTGTAGAAATGAGGCCCTTATCAGAGAGACTGGTTGTAAAAATTCTTTCCCAGTTTTCTACTTTCCTTCTAATCTTGGTTTCATTGACTTTGTGCAAAACTTTTTCAATTTAATGTGATCAAAGTTATCCATTTTGCGTTTTGTAATGTTCTCTGTCTCCTGTTTGGTCATGAATTCTTTTGTTTTCCATTAATCTGTTAGGTAAACTATTCCTTGCTCTCCCAGTTTGCTTACAGTATCAACTTTTATATCTAAATCATGAACCCATTTTGACTTTATTTTGGTATATGGTGTGAGAATTTGATCTATGCCTAGTTTCTGCCATACTGTTTTTCAGTTTTCGCGGCAGTTTTTGTCAAAGAGTGAGTTCTTATCCCAGAAGCTGGGGTTTTGGGGTTTATCAAATAATAGATTACCATTGTCATTGACTACTGTGTCTTGCATACTTAACCTATTCCACTGATCCACCACTCTATTTCTTAGCCAGTACCAAGCAGTTTTGATGATTTTATAATACAATTTAAGATCTGGAATGGCTCGGCCACGTTCCCCTGCATTTTATGTCCAATACTTCTTTGGCAAGAGATGGGCTTCGTGTTTATCCTCAGTCCTCTGGAATCATGGTTGGTCATTGCATTGATTACAGTTATTAATTGTCTTTCAAAATTGTTTTTTTTCTTTATAATGTTGTCATTGCATAAGTTGTTTCCCTAGGTCTGCTTATTTTATTTTGCATCAGTTCATAAAGATCTTCCTAGTTTCCTCTGAAACTGTCCATTTAATCATATAATATTCTATAATATTCAATAGTAAGATTCTGTTACATTCAATGCTTTAGTTATTTCCTAATGAGCAGAGAAGGAAAGGGCAAACCACTTAAATATCTCTGCCAAGACAACCCCAAATGGGGTCATGGAGAGTTGGACACAAGTGAAAAACAACTTAACAATAAGTGCATATTCCCTTCCTTTGCCATTTTTGACTACTACAAAAGAAAAAAAGTGCTATAAATATTATTGTACATATGTGTCCTTTTTCTTTTTCTTTGATGTCTTTGGGTTATAAGCCTAGTAATGGTATAATTGTGTCAAAGTATATTGCATAGCTGAGTACTTTTTGGGCATAGTTCCAAATTCTTTCCAGAATGGCTAGACCAACTCAAAATTCTACCCAAACTGCCTCGGTTTCTCTCTTTTCCAAAATTTCTTCCAATATTTGTCATTTTCTTCTTTTGTCATCTTGCCAATCTGATATGTTTGAAGTTGAACCTCAGTTACTTTCATTTTCATTCCTCTAATCATAAGTGATTTGGAGCATTTTTTCCTCATATGACTGTTGAGAGCTTGAATTTCTTCTTTTTAAAACTACATATTCATATCCTTTGACGATTTATCTATTGGGGAATGGATTTTAGTCTTATAAATTTGATTCAGTTCATAATATATCCTGAATATGAGAGCTTTATCAAAGAAACTTGCCCATTAGCTATTTCTTCTAATATTAATTGTATTAGTTGGTGCAAAATCTTTTAAATTTTATATAATCAAAATTATCTATTGTATCTTCTGTAATCCTCTCTGTTATCTGTTTGGTCACATACTCTTTGCCAGCCATAAATCTGAAAGGTAATTTCTTTGTTTCTCTAATTTGCTTATAGTGTCACCTTTTATGTCTAAGTCATGTATACATTTGGAATTTATCTTGGGAGATGTTTTTAGTTCTTGATTCATAACTAATTTCTGCTGTACTGTTTTCCAGTTTTCCCAGCAGTCTTTTGTCTCATAGTGAGTTCTTGCCCCAATAGGTTTATCAAATACTGTGTTCATTTGTTTTTGTTTGTTGTATACCTAAGCTATTCCATCGAATAATTACTCTAATTCTTATCCAGTACCAAATTGTTTTGATGATACAGCTATAGTTTGATGATACAGTGTAGTCTGAGATCTGATACTGCTAGGCCCCCTTCCCTCACATTTCTTTTTATTGATTCCTTTGATATTCTTGACCTTTTATTCATCCAGGTGAATTTTGTTACTATTTTTTCTAGATCTATAGAGTAATTATTTGGTACATATTTTTTCTAATTATTTAGGTGTATTTTTATTTATGCCAAATGTGTTTTGTTGTTGGGTCTTATAGTTCCTGTGTGTGTTTTGGTAAATAAACTTCCAAATATTTTAAACCTTCTATAGTTATTTTGAGTGGAATTTCTATTCTTTCCTTACTGGTTTTATTGGTAATACACAGGAATGCTCGTAATTTATATGTATTTTGTCCTGAAACTTTGGTGAACTTATTGTTTCAATTAATTGTTGATTCTTTAGGGTTTTTAAGGTAAATCACAATATTATTTTTCTTTGTAGCCCCAGTATCTGGAACAGTACGCTATATACAGATAGGCTCTTAATAAATATTTATTGACTGATGGAATACTGAAGTGAATGGGATGTTAAAAAAAAGGTATCAGTAAGATATACACATATAAATACATATTTATGTTGAATGGATTATGGGAAACTACACTTTTTTTTTGGTGAGGCAATTGAGGTTAAGTGATTTGCAATCCCAGGGTCACACAGCTACTGAGTGTTATGTGTTTGAGGCCGGGTTTGAACTCAGGTCCTCCTGACTCCAGGGTTGGTGCTCTATCCACTTCACCACCTGACTGCCCCAGGAAACTACTCTTATTTCATTTTTGGAATGATTAATAGGAGGTCACAGGAATGTCTAATGTAGATAGGGATATAGATATACATATACATTACCTAGATTTGTAACATAACATTTAATAATGTCTCTCATCCTCTTCTTTTGGACAGGAAAGAAAGATACGGATGTGCTATTAGTATAGATGGGTATCTTTGTCGTTGGTTGAATGGCCAGACCCAAAGAATAGTTAGTAATGGTCTGATTTCACCTCAGAAGGAGAGCTAGGACCATTGTTAAATAATGCTTTGCACCTCCTGACAGAGAGGTGGTAAGACTAAAGATACAGAATGAGACACAGATTTTTGAATATGACTATATGAGAATTTATTTGCTTGACTATGTATATTTGTTACAAGAGTTTTTTCTTTTTTCATTTCATTGTGAAGGGAAGGAAAATATATGCTTGAGAATTAGAAAATTAAATTTAAAAAGAAACATACTGCTTTATTATTTTAAATTTTCTTTGTGTATATATTGTCTCCACAGCCAATTTGTAATGAGGCTAAGGGAGAAACCTCATTGCCCTCTTCTTTTGTGTCCCCTACACTGACTAGCTCAGATTTATGTACATGGTAGTTGATAAATACTGAGGACCCATGATGAAAACTAGCTAAATTTATCCTGTGAAAGTATATACTTTCAAAAGTATTGTGCAAGCTATTTACTTTAATGTAGGAAAAAGTTCACACTAAAGTTCATCCTTAATTTTATAATTTTGTGCCTGTTTTGTTTTACATTTTTAGGGCTATTGGGAAAGATCTTAATTGCCATCCGAGATGCAGGCTTTGAAATTTCAGCTATGCAGATGGTAGGTATTTTGCAATGAATGATGACTTATTTAAAAATTATTTCCTTTCTGATTTTATTGAATTTTTGCATGGAACATTATTCATGTGGACAAGCAAATTCACTTCATTAAAGATAAATTGCATTTACATGTAAAATGGGTTTTAGTTAGAAATGTATCTTTCCTCGTTGTCCTTTCACTGTCATCAGCAAGTGTTATCTGTAACTCAGAACAGTTGTTCTGCTTACAAAATACAGGTTCTATCCTAGGGTTGTTCCTCAGAAATCTCAGCTTAGCTTTTTTCCCCTTGCCAGGAACCATCGCCTGGAACCACCAGAGTTTTGATCATTTTTTCCCTAACCACCAGGGTCTTCCATGAGAATTTAGCTTATGTATAGATCTTTACAGAAGGTTTCAAAGAGTCTGTAACTCCCATGAAAGCACTCAGGCTTGGTCTTGGAATTCCTTTATTTGTCTAGTTTTTGTCAGTCTGCTATTGTTATTCCATCAGAGATGACTTGTGCTCCCCTCCTCCCCCAATCTCCTCTTTTATTCCCTGTCTCACATAAAGAGGTGGCCGTTCTCCTTGTCAAGGCAAACCCCTTTACGTGCACAAGCCGATTACTGCCTCTGTCATCTGCCCTCTCTCACTAATCTTCAGTCTCTCTCTGTCTACCAGCCTGTTCTATGGTGCCTACAAACATATCCATCCATTTCCACTAGCTCTGATCCTATCTCTCTCCTCCCTTTCATGGCTAAACTCCTTGAGAAGGCCACTTACAATTACTACCTCCTCTTAGTCTTATCTCTGTTTCAGCCTCCCGAAAATCTGGCTTCCAGTCTCATCATTCAACTGAAACTGCTCTCTCCAAAATTATGAAGGATCTCTTAATCCCCAGATCTGGTGGCCTTTTCTCAACCTCTGTCATTCTTGCCCTTTCTGCTGCCTTTGACATAGGTGATCACTCTCTCCTCCTTGGCAGACTCCTCTCTGGGTTTTAGCGGCACTGCTCTCTCCTGGTTCTTCTCCTCCTTGCCTGGCTACTCCTTCTTAGTCCTTTGCTGGATCTTCATCTAGGTTGCACCTGCTAACCATGGGTGTCCTCAAAGCCTCTTCTCTTTGCCATCTAAACTCTTTCATGTATTGCTTTTCTCATCTCCCAGGGATTCGATTTTCATTTCTACGCAGCTGATTCTCAGCTCTTTATCCCGTGCTAATGTTTTTCCTGACCTTAAGTCTCACATCTCCAAATGTTTATTAGATATCTTGAACTTGATGTTCTGTTGACATCTTAAACTCAGCATGTACAGAGCTGAACTCATTATATTCCCCCCCCAAACTCTCCCCTCTCCTGAACCTCCCTATTACTATAGAAGGCACCATCATCTTTCCAGTCATCTAGGCTGGCAACCTTGGTATCCCCCCAACTCCTCTCTCTCACTCACTTGTGATATGCAATCTCTTGCAAAGTCTTTTTTCTGTCTTTGCAGGGTCGGTCATGTGTGCCCATTTCTCTGTATTCACATAACTGCCATCCTGGATCAGACCCCTGTTACCTCATACCTGGATTATTGTAATAGTTCCCCCGCCTCAAGTCTCTCCCCACTGAAGTCCATCTTCTGCTTCACTGCCAAAGTGATTTTCCTAAAATGTAGGTCTGACCATGTCACTCTCTAGCCATCCCCATCCCGCTCAATAAACTCCAAAGGCTCACTGTCATTTCTGGGATCAAATATAAAAATCTTCTGTTTGGCTTTTAAAACCTTTCATGACCAAATCACATCAATAAAATAGAGGACTGGATGCTTTCTTCTATCCTCCTGAACTCTGAAACCTCTCCAAAGTTCTATGGAAGAGATAAAATAATTTCACCTGTTTCTACCGCAATACCAAGAACCCCAATGTGGTAACAACCTGAGGGACTACCTGCAGGGAAGGCTGATCCCTAACACAATCGTTCAGAATCAACATGCCCTCCCCCAACACCACCACGCTCTGCCTGATTTAGCAAAGACAGGCCAACCACTGCCTGATTTCCCTTATTCTTCTGAGTTGAGATTTTCAGTCCTCTTTTTTTTTTTTTAAACAAAATAAAACAAAACAACTTATACGTTTTTGCTTAAAGTCATTTGTCCCAAACCACACAACGAGGCAATGGCAGAGATAGGCCTATAATCTAGGCATTTAACTTCTAACTCAGTGGTCTTTCTATTATACCACACTTCCTCTGACTGAAAAAAGTTAGGGTAGGCAGCTAGGGACTCTTCTTAAGGCTTAGGGTTCAAATAATGTTCTATCAGCCTCATGTATACCATTTTATGAATCAGTATATTCACTCATTTATACTTTTACCATTGGTGTTAATTTGGCAAATGAATGCTTCTCATGAAGTGGGGTTTTATTAATACATTTCTAGCAGACGTTGCTTTCGAAAGAGTATTTTATTTAATTTTGAATTATGATTCAATTTGGTTTTAATATAAATAACATCTCAAAGGAAAATATTCCATCTTGCATAAAGGTAGAGTTTTAAATTTGACATTTATTTTTTAATTAATTTGTCATTCTTAATTTTTGTTCTAGTATAATATGGACCGAGTTAATGTTGAAGAGTTTTATGAAGTTTATAAAGGAGTAGTAACTGAATTTAATGTAAGTATTAGAGCAAATATAAAATATTTGTAATTAACACACACAAACATGCTGAAAATTTTGTCCATATGTAGCTTGAGGGGGATTTATTGTGCTTTCAAAATAATAATAACAAAATCCCTCTCAAAATCCAACCCATCGTCAGTTAATAAATATTTAGCTCCTACTGTGTGCCAGGAACTGTGCTAACTGCTGGGGATACAAAAAATGCATAAAATAGTTCTTGCCCTCATAGATGTCACAGTTTAATAGGGAAGACAGTACATAAAAAGAAGCTGAAAAGTGGGTATGTAGGGGGAAGGGATTTAGGGGATTCCAGACTCGCGGGCATGATGAAGTCCAAGAATGCAACTAGCTGGGTAACGAGGAGGTGGGCTGTCCTGGGTAATGCCCTCCTTAAATGTAGGATCTGAGAGGAGCTCTCTACTGTCCACCCTCCATCCTGTCCAGTCAGAGGCAGGTGGTACTGCCTGAGCAGTTTCAAGTGCCAGGGTCAATGGACTCTTGTAGGAAGATGAGATTCTAAGGATTTGTTGTTCAAGCTGAGGAGGGGAGCTCTGAACTTGCTATGGTGGCTGTGATGGCCTGGCAAGAACTTTGAAATGCTTGTGTATTCGGCTCAGTGGACAACAATGATTGGGTTGGCTGCTCTGCTACTGGAATGTAACCGCGCTTAAGACTCAAAGACATGGATGGGCTGCTATAGAGGCCCAGGCTTGCCCTGCTCTGAATTGTTGGGATGATCGGTTGGATGCAGAAGGCAGCAGAGCAAGTGACACTCCGTTGTATTTGAGCGCTCCACCAAGGCTAGGTACACCAAAATACAACAGATGGAACACGTCAGCAATGCCAGTACTCCACCACGGCTAGAAACGTCCGGTGCATATGGCAGTGACTGTGGAAGCAGGAGAGCTATGCCTGTGCCTGAAATGGGCTTGAATACAGGAATGCCTTCTTTATGTATCTATGCTATATTGTAACAAAACTGGAAACATCTCATCCACTGGAGGCAAGCACTTCATGCTGCTGATGTCGACAGTGTGCTCATATCCTAATTACACAATATTATGTTGTTAAGCAGTGCAGGGATATCATCAAAATATCTCTATCCCAAAGTCTGTATTATGTAACATAATAAATGAAATTGAGAAATTACTAAAATCTGAAGAAGAAAAAATTAGAGACCTTGTGGTCACTAAAATCTTTACTTAGTGAAAACTCAGAAATTATCCCTAATAAAATCGATGACAGAATCAACACTGATGTTGCAAATGATTTTGGTTTTCTTTATTATTAAATTTTATTTTTAATGAACAAAAATTGATTTTCTCTGCCTCCTCCAGTCCTTACCCCTAATTGGAAAGATACCCCAAAACAACCTTGTAACAAATATACGTAGTCATGCAAAATAAATTCCTGTGTTGGCTGTATCCAAAAATATGTCTCATTCTGTTTCAAATGATTTTGAAAAGATGATGAGCATGCTTAGATAGGAATTGTGAAAAGCCTTTTTTGAGTACAACAGCATGAGTCTAACCAGAAGACCAGTTACACCAAAACAGAGAAATTTAAACAAGCCAAAGTTTTCATAGCTATACTAAATGAACATCATCTCCCATCTTACTTGACAAAAAGTATAAACATTATTCAAAACCTACACATAGCAGTATATGTAGTATATGCTGCCACTGTAAGAACCCTAGGAGGAAAAAGGTATATTTATCAAGGAATAACTCTAAGCACAGCCATAAAATTTCACCATAGTATAAGCTATGTGAAAGACCTTTTAAATATCTGTGGAGAGCCATTAGAAGAAACTTTCTGTATTGAGTTGTTCTGCATTGTGGAAACAAAACAAAAAACCATTGCATGATATTGGTATATTAAAGCAACAGAAGGGAAATATGCAGAACAGAAAAGCATATCAGAAATTCTGTATTTGCTTAGTCAGCTGTCAAATAAAAAGAAAAAAAGCCAAAAGGTTAAGGTGATACAAGAAGCCAAAGTAGTATTGAGTAGTGTAACGAATAAAGTAATTCAACATCGATTCAAAAAGAACCAACTTCACTACAGGTACTTGAGAAGTAAAGAATTCAAGGCAATTGAAAATCTCCTAAAAAGGGGGATATGGAAAATTTTTGGTCATCTATAAACAGAACTCATTATCCTTCTTCCCAAGACCCCTCTCCTCTCCCAAACTTTCCTGTCAAGCACACCGTCATCCTTCCAGGTGCCCAGACTTACTACCTTTCTGTCATCTTCAATTCCTCTCATGCTCACTCCTCATATCCAGTCTGTCGTCCAGTTTTGTTTCTACCTTCACGGCACCTCCCTTCTTCCCATTCACACAGCTGTCATCTTGGTGCAGACACTCATCACTCTGGGCCTAGACTGTTACAGTAGCTTTCTGGTTGGTACATGGAATCAGATTTGCCAAATGTAACTGAAAGCGGTTGACCCCTGGACACAACCTGTGAAAGGACTAAAACCAGACAGTAGAACCAAAAGGCTTTGTATGGGTGAGAAATCAACCAGCAATATGGTGGTAACGAAGTAGAGGACAAATGACTGAGTCATATGGATTTACTTGGGAAAAATGGAAGAGCTTACAATGGCTTTTCAGAGCCCCTTCATTGCCATCAGAAATTACAGAAGGGTTGGAGCCGAGACTTACTGATCAATGTAGATTATTTAAGGAAATTGCTGAAACTCTACAATTTATCCTTGAAGGCTGTAAGAATTTAGCACCTACTGAATACCTATCAAGGTATGACTTGATGGCTAGAATTATACACTAGCGGCTTCCTATCTTTCGTTGACAGACAAAAAAATTCCCTTATTGAGAAACTAAGTCCTCAAAATATCCTTGAGAATTCAACATGTAAACTGTACTCGAACTGGGATGTCCTCACAGGTTGAACTGTTGCTCATAATTACCTGTACATGACATTGATCAGTGAAAACTTGAGATCAATGTTTTTAATAGATTCAATAGATTTCTACAGTACAAAATTGGAGTAGCTAAGTGGCACAGTGAATAGAGTCCCAGGCATGGAGTTAGAAAGACTTATCTTTGTGAGTTCAAATATGACCTCAGACACTTATTAGCTATGTGATTCTGGGCAAGTCACTTAACCCTGTTTGTCTCAGTTTCTTCTTATGTAAAATGAGCTGGAAAAGGAAATGGCAAACCATTCCAGTATCTCTGCCAAGAAAACCCCTGTTTTCTCTGATGTCACAAAGAGTTGGACCCAACTGAAATAGTCATGTCAACTCTTTGTGACCCCATAACCCCCTGTCCATAGGGTTTTCTTGGCAAAGATACTGGAGTGGTTTGCCATTTCCTTCCTCAGTAGCAAACAGAGGTTAAGTGGCTTGCCCAGGGTCACACAGTTAGGAAGTATCTGAGGCCAGATATGAATTCAAGTCTTCCTGACTCCAAACCCAGTTCCCTATGTACACTGCAACACCTAGCTGCCTCTTAACAACAACAAGCCATACCAAATACGTATAATATCCAAATTACATGAAACAAGAAGTTTTCAAGATATAGAAACTTAGAGGAGAGCAGAATCATATAGGAACAAGGTGATGTACAAATCATCCTACTTGTCCCATCTGCTGCAGTTGTATTGAGGGTGCTTTCAGTGAGCCTACAGAGGATGAGCTCATATTCTGATTTTTTCAACTATAAAAACTAGTTATTTTATTCATCTTTAACATAGTCTGTATATATATAAAGAATAATAGCAGCATATAGACTTGCCCAATGACCATTTCTATATGAATTCCATTGAAAAAGATGAGAAGAAATATGATGATGATGATGATGATGATGGATAACATCATGTTTAATAGTTCATTGAAAAATACACCAAATAGCTGCTTCATCACATGGAGACTTTCCCCCAATGATATCAAAATATCATTTGGGTTCAATATGTATAACATTCTTTATGACCATCAAGGAAGAATAGAGAAAAAAAAGATCTGAGCTTGAATCCAGAAATCACATTGAATCAACGGACGCAGTCAATACTTGTCAGTAAACGTTCTCCTGGCAAGAGCCAGCAGGGAGGAATCTAAGGCTATATATTAGGAGACTAACTGGCATACATACTCCAAGCTTGATCAAAAGAACACATTTAAAGTGATTAACACCTACACAATGCCAGTCTTAAACTACGTTTTTAGCATGAAAAAAATGGATGACAGTGGGTCTACAATGTATGCAAAGAAAACCCCAAGATAGCTTTAGAAAGACTTGTCAAAAAGGAGGAAGAAGATTGATAAATGTCCTCAGAGAACATGACAAGTATGTAAAAAAATTTTGTATGAAGACATTTGGAACAAATAGACATCCCTGCACAAAGTGATGAGAAATGGAGGCCGTAGGTGTGTGCCACTGACTTATCGGGTGTCGTGAAACATGACTTCTCTCCAGGCAGAGCCCATGAAATGGCTAAGGCACGTGAGTGGAATCAAAGGACAACATCCATGTGAACTGAAGCCACCATACTGGAGTAAAGACATGTCAATCTAATGACTGAGCCATGTAGATTATTAGTAGAAATTAAAAGATTTATGGTAGCAATTCAGGATCAGCTCATCGGCACTAGAAATTACAGAAGGGTAATCCTTATGAAGTTTGAACTTATTGATTGATGCAGATTATTTAATGAAATGGTGGAATCTGTGTGACATATCACGCAGGTTGAAGATGTTTATCATCTGCCAGGTGTTATGAAAGGTATGATCAGATGACTAGGGTTATACACCAGAAGATTGTTGTCTTAAAAAAAAACTAACAGGGGGCAGCTAGGTGGCGCAGTGGATAGAGCACTGGCCCTGAAGTCAGGAAGACCTGAGTTCAAATCCAGCCTCAGACCAACCACTTGACACTTACTAGCTGTGTGACCCTGGGCAAGTCACTTAACCCCAATTGCCTAAAGAAAAGAACAAAACAAAAAAAAACTAACAGAAATCCTCATACTACAAATACAGATTGCATCAACTGAACATGTAATTTAAAAAAATAGAAAACCAAAAAATAAACAAACTCAAAATATGCACGAGAGGATTTTTTTCAGAATTAGATAAACTGGAAACACAGAAGTCCATGAAACCAATAAAACTGAAAGCTGGTTCTTTGAAAAGATTAATGGGATAGATAAACATTTAACCAACCTAATTAAAAGAAGTAACATTAAGTTTTAAAAAATTAACTAGGGGGACTTAGAACAAATAGAAAAGAAAAAGAATTCTCAGAATCTGCTGTACACAAATGCCTGTAAAACTTAGAACTTAAAAAAAAAGATTATCTACAAAAATATAAAATATCCAAATTGATTTAACACAAGAGATCTTAATGAATCTAATTTCAGAAAATGAAATTGAACTAGCAATATATAAACTACCAAAGGGGAGAAAAACTCACTTGTCTAGATAAGTTTGTTGTTGAATTCTATCAAATGTTTAAAGAATATATAATGCTTACACTACACAAATGATTCTCAAAAATTTCAGAGGAAAATACTCTACCATACTCCTTTTATGAGCCATAGTCTTAACATCTAAACCAGAAAAGGATAAAGTAAAAAAAAAAAGGATAACTTTAGGCTAATATCATAAGTATGTGTTGATTCAAAATTTTTCAAAAATGACTACAAAATACTACAGTGATGTTTCCCCCAAAATCATTCATTAAGACCAAGTTAAATTTAAAATATGATCACAAGGACAGTTCATCATTAGGAAAAATTAATATAACTAATTACATTAAAATTATCTAAAACCACATTATTATACAAGTGGTTATAGGAAAAAAACTCCACCTTTGACAAAGTATAATGATCATTAACATTCTTTTCCTTACAAAGCATAACCATAGAAGAATTTAATATGATCTAGAATAAAAAGTTAACATTTTATTCAGTGGGAAAACACTAGAATTTAGCCCAACAAATTCAGCAGTAAGGCAAAGATATCTCTTTTCTTGCTATTACTTAACATAGTTCTAGAAATGCCAACAAAATCAATGAGACAGGAGAAGGAAATTAAAGACATAATCATAGGGAAAGCAGAGATAAAATTACTCCCATGTGCTAATGACATCATGGTTTACTTAGAAAATCCTAAGGAATCAACAAAGAAAGTAATGGAGACAATTAATAGCTTTGTTAAAGTGGCAGATTACAAAATAAAATCACAAAAAAATCAACAGCATTTCTATATACTTCAGGAGTTAGTGAACTGTGGTTCATGAATCAAATTTGGATAGCTGCCTGTTTACATGTATATAAAAACTGCTTTTAGATTATGGACCATACAAAACCAGGAATTGGGACGGATTTGGCCAATAGGCTGTATTTTGCTAATCCATACCGTATTTCAACAACAACAAAATATCCAGTAGAGAGTAATAGAAAAGGAAGTTCTATGGAAATAAATGACAGCTTAACTAGAGAGAGAATCAGTATTCATGACTAGACTATTTCAATAAAATAACGGTACTACTGAAATTAATTTGTAGACTATTGTGTCTATATCAACCAATACCAAGGAAATACTTTATAGATATAGACTGAATGACAACAAAATTCATTTAAAGTAACAACACGTCTAGAATATTAAGAAAAATAATGGAAGAAAGTAGGCCAGAAATGGAAGAGCACATCTATATCTTAAAGTATATTATAAAATAGTAACCATCAAAACTGATGCTGGTTTTTAAAAAAAAAATTAAAAAAGGAAGTCAGTGGAACAGACTCAACAACATAGAATCAGAAATAATTGAACTCAATAAACCAATGTTTTGTTAACCTTGAAACAAATTACCTAGGAAGGAATTCTCTCATTGAAAAGAATTGCTAGGAAACCTAGAAAGAAGTCTGGCCAAAATTAGAGTTAGACCACTATCTTACACAAAATACCATTTAAAAAAACCCTTAAAATGGACTTCATGAACTGCATATCAAAGGTCATACAATTAAAAAAACATTAAAAGAGACCCAGTTCAGATACCATTAACAACCATTGTTATTGGGTAAATTTGTAGTCAAACCATAGATAGAGACAGTTACAAAAGACAAAACCGATAATTTTGGTTTGAACAAGTTGAAAAGTTTTATATGCACAAAATTAATGCTGTTAAGATAAGAGAAGCAGTAAACTGGAAATATTTATATCAACTATCTAAGATACGTAGGCAACTAACCAATACGTAAGATTAAAAGCCATTCCTAGTAGATAAGTGGTGAAAGGATGTGAAGTTTTCAAATGAAGAATTACAGACAGTTAACAACCATATGAAAGGATGCTTTGGACCACTATTGACAAGATAGATTTCAATCAAAACAACATTGAATAACAAAACAATGAAACTGAATGCTGAGAAATTATGACTAGGGTTGGCCCCAAAGAAGAAAATGAGAAGATATGCCTTTACTTTTTTGGGGAGAAGTTTAGGGATATGACTGTGGTACATTGAATGTAATGTCAGGATTTTTTGATATGTTGGTTAATTTTGCTGAAGTTCTTTTTTCTTTGTTATAATGGGTGACTTGAAGTAGGGATAAGTATATATACATTAGGGTAAATGTAGATGGTGGAGAAACAAAAAAAAAATTGAAAAAAATTAAAGCAAATTCCAAAACATCCTTGATTTTGAGAGTAAAAGGTGGAGAGGTAGGGCATTCCTGATGTGCAGTATCACTCATTTAAAGGCACATTTAAGATAAGTATAAATATAGCACATTGGGTTCTAGAAAGAGCTATTAGGCCTGTTTGCCTAGAATGTGGAATTCACAAAGTGTGGTGATATGAATTAGGTATAGAAAAGTAGTCTGGTGCTAGATCATGGGGATTTAAATGGAAAATATTTGTAGTTTATCATGGAATCAGTAGGGATCCCCTGAAGGTTTTTGAGTAAGGAATCAATAGTTCTGTGTCTTAGGAATATTAGTTTCCAAGACAGGACATGAAGAGCCAAGGACAGGGGGCATTAAATCATCCTTAAGTGATTGCAGATGATCAAATCTAGGAGAATGGTGGTACCATCAACAGAAGAAAAGTGATTTATGAAATTGACAATGATCCCTTTCTCTTTTAGGAGATGGTGACAGAAATGTATTCTGGTCCTTGTGTAGCATTAGAGATTCAACAGAATGATGCTACAAAGACATTCCGTGAATTCTGTGGGCCTGCTGATCCTGTAAGTTATTGTCTTAAGAAAAAATGTGAAAAATTGAAAGTGAACATTATAACTATTAAAATCATCATTACAAATACAAAATATCTTTACCTTAGTTTTTGGTGTCCTGATGGAGCCATGTTTTGATTAGTGATACAGATTATTATCTCCATTTCTTTTCATATTGACTCATTCAGGTTCCTACCTTTAAGAGGATTCACTCAACACCTTGGAAGCCTTCCTCTTTTGCTTTTAATATCTTGGGGTTACCATTTTGGATGTGCATTTAGTGTCTGTCATTCTGGGTACAAAAGTGATCTACCTACTTTTACAGTCATAAATGTGTTCTTGGTAATATTTTTGTATACTTCTTACATATAAGCTATCAGTGGTAACATGCTCCAAAATATTCATACCCAGGATGGAGCTTACAAAATGGTGAGGCATATGCTTATCCCACTTGTTAACCAGTATCATGGAATCAAGGTGAAGTTCTCCAAATGCTCCTATTCAGATATCACAATGGGCTAATTTCATCAAACCTCAGAATGCTATTTTACTCTTAAGCAAAACCCACAACAAACTATCCAAATTGGAAGAACAAAGTAGGTGAAAGATGCCTGTTGACTAGACTAGAACATGAAGTTTAATAAGAAACCTGTCAGTCTATCAGTATGTATCTTCTGTATAGATGATGCAGATCAGTCGTGAGTCTGTGTTCATGAGCACTCGAATGGGCAGGAGCAAGAAATTGACCTTGATTGAATTTGTCCAAATTGTGAATTGCTTTCAGTGATCACAGATTGCTCATTAACACAAGTGCCCTTCATCAAAAATATTTTCTCACTGTAGTTATTTGGCTACTAAAAGTGACTGTAACCCAAAGGGCAATGGGTAGATACATGGAGGATATCAATGACAGTCTGTAAGAAAAAAAAAAGGAATCTTTTTTACGTTTTATTTTATAAATAAAAAATGACATGTGAGAATATTATTCAGAATGCAATGTTATTTTTACTTGTTTTCTTTCATAACTTTAGAATTAAAGGCTTTTCATACTTTGATAGCACACAAAATAAAATTGTGTTGAATTTGATTAAAATTTGAAAAAAGATAATTTTTCTTAGAGCATGAAGTTAGCAATTTATCATACCTCTTTGCTAGCTCACCTAGATAAGTAAATTACACTAGCCCTGAAATACAAAATGTGTTAAGCGCTTTGTGTTGGCATGGCCCTGTCATATAGCTATCATTTTTAGACTGCAAAAAAGCAATAGCAAACAGATCCAAGACTGAAGCAAAATGATGTATTACTCCATTTTGAATCAAGAAAAAGGCCTCGGGTGAAATTTAATAATTTAACATTCTCTCTCATTTTTTTTAAACTTTCTTTGGGTTTGTTTTTCAGAGTATTTTTTTCTAACTCTATGTTATGGGGAGATGCTTTTGTTCTCTTCAGAGACAAAAAACAGTAGAAAGTGGCAAAAATATTTAGGGATAAGGAATATACCATTAGCAAGTGAAAGAGTGGCCAATGAAAATTTGATCGGCTTGACTGAATAGTAATCACGTAGCTCACATTTCTAATGCTTTGAGGTTTGCCAAAAGCTCTCCAGAGGATAGTCCTTCCAGGTAGAAGTATTATGATCTCCATTTTACAAATGAGAAGCTAAGGCTCAGAGGGGTTGAGATCATAAAACTAGTAATTATCAGAGCTGTAATTCAAACCCAGGTCTTCTGACTCCAAGACTAGTGTTCTTGAATTTTGGAAGTCCTACTGGTTTCAGAAAATGAAGAAAGAGCGATATAGTTTTCCTTTAGTTTTAGGTTTACTTGGTTTTCTTTTTTTTTTTTTTCATGTTACTCAAGAATGATTGAACTATCTCTAAAGTCAGTAAATAACATTGTGCACCAAATGGAGACCTCATTGGGAGGTGTGCGTGCGTGTGTGTGTGTGTGTGTGTGTGCATCAATGAAAGAATGATACCAAGTAAATGAACAATACATCTCTAGTCCTCAGTACACTGTCAGTCTAGTTGGGAACTCATAATTTGTGAATATGAAAAATATTTTGAAATGCTGCCAAAATACCACTACATCTAACCTCATACAATTCTCTCAGAATTTGTCAGTGCTGAAAAGTAGTATTGAAAAGTACAGAGAACTGAGATCTCAAAATAGATGAAACACAGAAAAATGGTGGTGCTGGAGATGCCAAGTGAATTGTGTGAACTTCTGGCAATTGTACAGTTTGAAATACTATTTACATTATGTTTTAGAAAACTGCAGAATTTTGTTTTACTTTTTAAAAAGTTTATGCTGATGGTAGCCCGCGATTAGTCAGTTTGATATCCTCAAGGAAGTACAGTTTGAGCTGAGGTGTGATGTAGCACATAGAAGATAAGGAAGGCGTTTTGGGCAAGAAAATAACATGAACAAAGACAAAGATTAAAGACTATTCAAATAGTATATAATTGACAGCAAACAGATTTACTTAGCTACGGGGCAGAATAGTGGAAAGTGGGATAGATAATTTGAGGGGAACAGGCAAGGGGATGTTACTAGAAATAAGTTATAGAGATCTTTTAAGATCAGGAAAAATAATTTGGAGTCCATATAATAAGAAATAGGAAGCTCTACTGTAGGTCCTTGAGCAAGATCAGTATGACTAGAAAACATATTAAGTTCTCTTGGGACTTTGTATAGGATAAACTGGACTAAAAATTCTGGGGATGGTGGATTTTGCAGTAATTGAAGCCGTGAGGGTCTAGATTAGAGCAGTCACTAGGTTAGTGCAGCACAACCTCTGAGACTTTCCCAGCCTCTCCTAGCAATAGCAAGCTGGGTATCCGGAACTGGGCTACTGTGTCTTCTCAGAAACCTGGGTTCGGGGGTGGTGGTGGTGTTTTTGTAATGTTATGGCTCGCAAGCCTTCATCAGAGTACTTCGTCTTATGTTTATCAGTTGATATCAATTAGTCATTTTTAACTATGGTGGTATCATTGGTACAAAATACCATTGTCCCACCGAAGTCTGTGACATACTCTCCCACAAGTACATATAGAGAGTCCCTGGGAAAGTGGGCTCAAACTTAGTACATTTGGCAAAAGGATAATACAGTTCTTGAAAGTCTTTTTGTTAGGGTCCATAAGATGTTCCCATTAGATTTGGTATAGTTTTTTTTGTTTGTTTTTTGCCATGTAGAGCCATGATTATTTTGATAAACATTACTCTATGAAAGAATTATGTCAGTATGTGTAATAATATAATTATAAAATTGTATTGTCAGTTTGCTCCTGTCTTCTTGTAAATATGATCTTTCACTGATTTTTCAGTGGTTTTTCACTGGTTTTCACTGACCCCGCTCTCTCCCTGGATACCTTCTCCTCTATAGGTTTGCCTTCTGTATGATGCCTGTATGATGACTGTATGATGACTTCTTCTCAGTCTATTCTGCTGGCTTATCATCCATATTAATGTCCCTAACAGTGGGCATTCCCCAAGGTTCTACCCTAGGCCCTCTTCTCTTCTTCTATACACTCTCTTGATAACCTCTTTAGTTCTCATGGGTTTAATTATCATCTTTATGCAAATGACTGACTGATATAGCCCTATGTATATATACATATGTTTGTATATATGTTTATGTTTATATGTCCCAAATCCCCCCTCCAAGGTTCATTCCCACAGCATCAGTTGCCTATTCAGCATTTGAAAGTGGATATGGCAGAGACATCTTGAACAAAATGTATCTAAAGCTGAACACAGTACCTTTCTCCCCAAACATTCTCTTCTAAGCTTCCTGATTTTTATCGAAGGCACGGCTCTCCTTCCAGTCTCCCGATTTCATAACCTTGGCAGTAACCTCATCCCCTCACTTTCCCTTAACTCCTCATCCAATCAGCTGCCCACGCTTGCCGACTCTAACTTCCCAACACTTTTCACATCCATCCCTTCTGTCTGCTCCCCAAGCTCCGACCGCAGTTCAAGCCCTCGTCACGTGTTACCTATGTTACTACAACCGCCTCCCATTTGATCTCCCTTCCTGGTCCAGGCCATCCTAGACACTGCTGCCAAAGTAATTTTCCCTTCATGCGTTCTGACCAGGTGATTCCCTTATTTAATCAACCCCAGTGGTTTCCTATTGCCTGCTGCATCATATATCAGCACCTCTGTTTAGCTTTTAAAGCCCTGCACAATCTTGGCCCAACCTAACTTTCTGGCCTCATTGGAGATGAATGCCCCACCTGCACTCTGTGAATTAGCCAAATTGGCCTTCATGTGTTCCTTACACATGATGCTCTATCTCCCCCCTCCATATCTTTACACTTGTATTTCCATATATGTAGAATGCAATTCCTTCTTATTGTATTCATTAGGGTCCCTTCTTCCTTTAAAATATAGCAACATCTTCTCCATGAAGCCTTTCCTGGTCCTCCAATGGCTAATGCCCTCCATCCTTATGTTTAACTACTCTGTATATTTTTGTATTGATTAATTTTATGTTTATGTTGTATATACTTACACACTTGCCTCTTCATTAGAATAAGCTCCTTCTTGGGGTGAGTGGATACTGTTTCATTCTTTGTATTTGTATTTCCAATACCTAGAACAGAGCCTGGCATATGGTAGGTCCTTGCTACTTATTGATAGACTGATTAGACCGTGGTAGGAAAGTCAGTAGTTCTGATGAGCTTTTTATCACTTGGCATGAGAAGGATGAATGTTAGGAAGGACCATGGAAGTCTAGTGGACAGGACTGTGTTTGCATTGGGTCTCCTTTCATATCACCATTGTGAGGTGTGTATTTTTGGGGGTGTTCACAGACATTTGTCCTAAACTTGGTCTGTGGCTTGATTGCTGTAGGATCCTCACACAGTATATATTAATGCAAAAACAAGTAATGCCTATAGGTCTGAGGTAAAATTTGAATAACATATGCTGAGCTCACTTCTATATCTTGTCTCTGAAGGAAAAAGAGTAGTCATGCAGATTCTCATCTCAAATTTTAGACCATTTTA